CCCCCCCCCGTGTCTCTGGACTTGCAGTGCACGCACGTCGGAGAAAAACCCTTAAATAGTGCGTTTAAATAACCAACAGATGGCCACGTGTTTCTCCCTGCTCAGCTTCGCAATTTCAGAGTTTACGCACAAGACTGGGAAACTTTCAGTTTCTAAAGAAGGAGCCATTAATGGCTGCATTTATGTCCACTATTTTTACTCCTTTATTTTAATCCAATTTTACGCACAAGCAGCCCATGGTGATCCACATGCTATTAATTAGCATTTTGAAGTTGTGCGTAAAGAAATGTCAGCTTTGGGGAGTCTTATCTGAATGTCAGCTTCATGGTAGAAATTTGCTGCTCTCCTCAAACATCAAAGGTTCTGACAGCTCTGTCTGGTGGATTAAAGAGCATCAGATTGGTAGAGGGAACAGCAGGAAAATGACAGATGTGCTTGGAGAAGAACTGGCCACGGGAGAACACTTAAAGGCCGAATGATCGTCGTCGAGTGTATGCAAGGATTATGCGAGGAGAACTGAGATGAAGAGTTAAGGCTTTCTGCTCTGGTGTGTGCAGAAAACCTCAAGAGAGAGATTCTTGTTGATCTCTTAGAGGCGGCAAGCAGCAGCCAGGCAGAAGGCTGGCTGTGAGGAGGTTATCAAGCAAGAGCTTAATTCCATCTGGTGGTAAAGTGCAAACAAGGAAGAGAGTTATGTGCAGATTTATTGATCTTTTGTTTTTCTTTTTTTTTTTACCGGTTGATGTTACACAACTGCTTCGTCTTATCGACATATTGATCCATTTATCTCTGTGTGATTCTGCACCCAAAATTCTTCAACCTTTAAGGGAAATTAGGTTTAATGGCAAAAATCTACAAACTACCAGCTGTTTGTGACAAACAAATCATCCAGACTAAAACTACAGGTGCTTTTCTTTCGACATTAAACACAAAATGTCACTTGTAATGACTGCTGTGTCTTTAACTTTTGGATGGTTCGCTCATGCGGCCATCAGTTGGTTTTATATTGATTTTTTTTTTTTTTTTTGAGTTTGCATGTTTCAACAGAGTTCAAGTCAGGCTATTATGAAGGCTGGATGTCCTCTTTGACCAAGGTAGATTTCCTGTTGGAAGGGCCACTGATGCCTTCAAACAAATGACTTGATTTTTGTTCTTCAACCAATGGTTGAGTGAATTTTACTCGCCACACACTCACACACACACACACACACACACACACACACACACACACACGTTTGTGTGACTATCTTTGTGGGGACTTTCCATTGACTTCCATTCATTTCTACAGCCTAAACCTTACCTTTACCCTTTTCCTAACCCTAACCCTCACATACCTAACCCTACCCAAAACTCAGTTCATACCTTAGCCCTAACTCTGACCCCTGACCCAAAAACAGGGTTTCCCCTTATGGGGACCAGGCTCCGGTCCCCACAAGGAGCAATTGGTCCCCAC